TTTATTCCGCATGTGGATAAAGGAATGTATCTCTTCCCCTAGGTTTTCTGTGGCAGTGAAGGGAAAAAGGGCTTAGAGAGGGTGATCCATTATCACCGTATCTTTTCATTTTGGTTATTGGAGCAGGCTGCAGATCTTGATAAGATTGATATCCACCCAAAGTGTTCTTCTCCTCGAATCACTCACTTGTTATTCGCTGATGATCTATTGGTGGATCCATAAACTCTTTAAAGGGTATTAGCTGATGTTATGAGCAAGTTTCGTGACTTGTCAGAACTGGATATGAACCCGACAAAATCAGAGATATTTTTTGGTGGATTCTCAGAACCAGAAGCTTTGGATTTAAGTGTGTATGCCGGTATCAACAGGGGTTCATTTCCCACTAGATATCTCGGTCTCCCATTGAATCCAAGGAGAATTCCCTATGTAACATTGCAGCCATTCATTGAGAAAATCACCGGAAAATTACACTCTTGGACAACTAAGTTCTTGTCTTTTGCTGGGAAAAATCAGATTGGTTTCATCAGTTATATATATATGGCATGGTGAATTTCTGGAGCAGTGTTTTTGTTCTCCCAAAGCACCTTTACGTGAAGGTGGATTCACTATGTTCTGCATTCCTTTGGAAAAACAAAGTGGCTTCAGCCTCTGGTGCTAGAGTGGCATGGAAACAAGTATGCAAACCTAAAGCGGAGGGTGGACTAGGAATCAGACTGCTAGAGGACTTTGAGATTGTATTTCGGCTCAAGCAAATCTGGAATTTTTTCACCAATTCAGGCTCCTTATGGGTTGCTTGGCTAAGGAGAAACATTTTTTTTTGAGGGAAAGCTATTGGATAACGGAGGAGTCTAATCGCTTTTCTACGACTATCAACAGTATGCTACAACTCAGACATATCATCACTGATTTTCTCAAGTGTGAGATTGGAGATGGTGAATTGGCTTCATTCTGGTACGATTCATGGACTGATTTTGGTCAGCTGATATCCTTCGTTGGTTCATCTGGTCCAAGGCAGCCACGCATATGTAAAGATGCAAGAGTTGTGGATGCAATGAGGAATGGATGTTGGTCAATGCCGGCTGCTCGCTCTAAGAGCATTCATACGTTTCTGATTGCTCTTACGACAATTGATGCTCCGGAAGCATCTCGAGGTCGGGATTCTTTCCTTTGGCGTAATGCTACAGGTACTTACACTTCCATATTATCTTCCAAGGACACTTGGGAGCAGCTACGTGTTCATTCTCCTTTGGTCCCTTGGGCTGATGTGGTTTGGTTTAAAGAATATGTGCCTCGGTTCTCACTCATTACATGGATGGCAATGCTTGGTCGTTTGCCTACAAGTGACAGATTGAGAAGTTGGGGCATGAATGTTCCAACAGCTTGCGTTTTATGCTCTGATGGGGATGATAGTCATGCGCACTTATTTTTCGAATGCAACTTCTCTTCAGCAATTTGGCTCTATTTTGCTGCAAATGTTGGCATGAATCCTCCTTTGGGCTTGTCTTCAGCTTCAACTTGGATTCTCCACCAACGAAATACTAAAGTTATATCCATCATTAAGCTACTACTTCAATCTTCGGTCTACCGTGTTTGGAAGGAACGAAACTCGAAGATCTTCACCGCTGTCTCCACTACACCCCAAGCCATCCGCCTTGCCATTGATCGCACCGGCACATGCAGATTGTTCAGTTCTTCAAGTCAATGCCACTAGAGAAGGTTCTTAAACAATACTGTTTCAGAAACAACAAGGAACACTTGCAATCCATCAGAGTCATCAATCCTACCCACCAGGCCACCACATACTAAAAAAACAAAAGACAAAACAAGACACTATGCAAGATTGAGCACTTTTGCGATCGCTAGGTGATCAGCATTGAGCATTGTTGTCTTGATGTTCATAATAACTGTCCGACAAACAGTAAGAAATCTCAAAATAGTTCTGAAAGATCTCCCTGCGAATTGAG